GACACGACTTCGTGACGACAGGCATTGTGTTGGTAGTGACGGATGTCATCCATGGGTGTCTGACATCAGTCATTGTCAGAGTTGTGAATTATGTCAACCATGAGGTCGATCTCAATCATTTTTATTATAAAGGATCAAGTTTGAAGGGAGGGAGGGGGGGGGGGTGTTAAGTGTCAGTTTCAGCGAGTTTTCCATCAGTCACTTGCTGACTGTGGCTGACAGCTGACAACTACTGGAGTTTACTGTATCCACCACATAGCGGAGTCCGGTTTAATCTGAGAATTTTTACACCCCTTGTTTACGTGGCTAACCACTTTATGTCTCCCTGTGGTAAATATTTGTCTGTAAGAAGCAAGATCCTCTTAATACGGTCAATATGATCGCCGTTAAGTGTATTGCTCCCACTGGCCATCCTCATGCCGCTCTTTGGTCCATCTCCTCGTGGACTACTCTGCCGCTCAGCTATTTTATGTTCTATTTACTCTATTGATGAACATGCATGACTACACATGTGGGAGATGCCACGTGTACAACCCCTCCCCCCCCCCACACACACACACACACATCCTACGCAGTGGGTAAAACCTGCCGGAGTAACGCTGAATCAGCGTCGTTTGCCCAACATGTCTCCACTGGGTAGTTAATCCACAATGACTACGGCTGGAGCTCACCAGCAATATTGTTTGCTCTCTGTACGCCCTCTCCTACCACCCCATGAACGACATGGGAAGGGTTGGATATAAGAAGCTGGAGTTCCCATATACCGACCACGGGAGACATCTCCCGTCACGCAGGGTGCAGTCGCACCTCCACAGATCTCCAGTATCAGCTCTTGATACTGGTAATGGCTCAAAAGGGCCACCACTTACGGGCTATTCATGCCCGTGCCACCTTTTGGGTGGCTTAATCTTCATCAGTCAATCAATCAATCATATACCGACCACAACCACTCGTATATGTCTGAGCGGCCCGTTCTCGTGAGTGTTTCTCCCCAATGTCAAAAATTTTGTCGTACTAAAGAGCCCTTATCTTAACCTACCAGAGGACCAACGAACTGAAAACGGGATATTATGTCAATTTCGCGAGGCGCTACCATTTTGTTACATACGATGAGTCACAACAACGTGGCTGAAGATATGATCAAACTACACATCGATGAGACGACGACATTGAACGCTGACCTGCATGAAGCGAGACCGTCGCTCTACCGTCCAGCCCAAGTGATTGGGCAAAACGGGGCGGGGTGATTATATTGGAAGGGGGGGGAGGGAGGCAGTAATCCAAAGTGTCTTCACACCGTGTAATTGGCCAGCAGGGGACGCAGCACCCGGACAACGACCTAATACCCCGCTGGACCGGTAATTGCCTCGTTAAGTGTACATGAACCACTGCAGCAGGTGCCTGGAGGCAGGTCTCTTATGTAGTGTTCTATGTGAGATGAGTCACTTAGGTGTATTACTACTGATACTTAGGTGAAGGTGGCAGGCCCCTGCACTCATTGTTGACGATAGTGTGTGTGTGTGTATACTCACCTAGTTGTGCTTGGGGGGGATGAGCTCTGGCTCTATGGTCCCGCCTCTCAACCATCAATCTACTGGTGTACAGATTTCTGAGCTTCTCGAGCTCTATCATATCTTCATTTGAAACTGTGTATAGAGTCAGCCTCCACCACATCACTTCCTAATGCATTCCAGTTACTAATATTTCTTGACACTGAAAAAGTTCTTTCTAATGTCTCTGTGGCTCATTTGGGTACACAGCTTCCACCTGTGTCCTCGCGTGTACCACCCGTGTTATATAATCCATCCTTTTGTCTATTGGATTGTGTGCGTGTGTGTGTGTGTGTGTGTGTGTGTGTGTGTGTGTGTGTGTGTGTGTGTGTGTGTGTGTGTGTGTGTGTGTGTGTGTGTGTGTGTACTCACCTAGTTGTGTCTGCAGGATCGAGCATTGACTCTTGGATCCCGCCTTTCGAGCATCGGTTGCTTACAGCAATGACTCCTGTCCCATTTCCCTATCATACCTGGTTTTAAAATTATGAATAGTATTTGCTTCCACAACCTGTTCCTGAAATGCATTCCATTTTCCCACTACTCTCACGCTAAAAGAAAACTTCCTAACACCTCTGTGACTCATCTGAGTTTCAAGATTCCATCCATGTCCCCTCGTTCTGTTACTATTCCGTGTGAACATTTCGTCTATGTCCACTCTGTCAATCCCTCTGAGTATCTTATACGTTCCTATCATGTCCCCCTCTCCCTTCTTCTTTCTAGTGTCGTAAGGTACAGTTCCCTCAGGCGCTCCTTATATCCCATCCCTCGTAGCTCTGGGACGACTCTCGTTGCAAACCTCTGAACCTTTTCCAGTTCCAGTTTCAACCTTTTCCAGTGTGTGTGTGTGTGTGTGTGCGTACCTGGTTGATTACCTGGTTGATGGGGTTCTAGGAGTTCTTCTATTCCCCAAGCCCGGCCCGAGACCAGACTTGACTTGTGAGAGTTTGGTCCACCAGGCTGTTGCTTGCAGCGGCCCGCAGGCCCACATACCCACCACAGCCCGGTTGGTCCGGTACTCCTTGCAGGAAACAATCTAGTTTCCTCTTGAAGTGTGTGTGTGTTGTGTGTGTGTGTGTGTGTGTGTGTGTGTGTGTGTGTGTGTGTGTGTGTGTGTGTGTGTGTGTGTGTGTGTGTGTGTGTGTGTGTGTGTGTGTGTGTTTGTGTTTCCATAATCTGAAAAACAAATTTTAACTTTAAACAAAGCTTGTCAGTACAGTGGACCATGTGTTGTCACTTGAAGAGCGGTTGCAGATGTGCAGCTGTCGTTATGTCTGCTGCCCTGAGGGTTGTGCTGCTCAAGCTGCAGAGAGGGTTGTAAACGTGACCTCGTTGAGCGAGTGACTGAGCCGTAAACATCATAGAGATTATAGAGAAGCCCGCGCCCGTTAGACTTCCGGACGCTGAGAAGGTAGGAGGGGGGGTCGGGGTTGGAAGCGGGTTTCTGGAAGGGGTTGGGATGGGACAGACCAGTAGTTGGTGCGATGGAGGCTAATTGGTACTCGCTGGACATCGATCCCCAGGCATAATTATACCAAGATGACCCATCCTCCGCGCCGGTAAATATTACACTTCCTGCGCCTTCCCCGCCTCGGGGGTCTCCGAGCTCTCTGGGGTGGCAGGCGTCTCTGTGGGGCCGTCTTCCTCGCCTATTGTTGAATTTGTGGTGCTCCAGCCGCCAAAACTCATGTTTATGACTAGAAACACTTCACACACGACTAACTTAATCTGTCATGTTGTCTTCCTAGTCCTGCCATGTTGTCTGCCTCATTATCCCGTGCAGTGGTGCAGTGACCAAGCTGGAAAAAGTTCAGAGGTATGCCACTAGACTAGTCCCGGAGCTAAGAGGCATGAGTTGTGAGGAAAGGCTGCGAGAGATGGACCTTACGACACTGGAAGACAGAAGAGTAAGGGGAGACATGATCACTACCTACAAAATCCTCAGGGGTATTGACAGGGTAGACAAGGATAAACTATTCAATACTGGTGGGACGCGAACAAGGGGACACAGGTGGAAACTGAGTACTCAAATGAGCCACAGAGACGTTAGAAAGAACTTTTTCAGTGTCAGAGTAGTTAACAGGTGGAATGTATTAGGCAGTGATGTGGTGGAGGCTGACTCCATACACAGTTTTAAATGTAGATATGATAGAGCCCAGTAGGCTCAGGCATCTGTACACCAGTTGATTGACGGTTGAGAGGCGGGACCAAAGAGCCAAAGCTCAACCCCCGCAAGCACAATTAGGTGAGTACAATTAGGTGAGTACACACACACGTACTGAAGTAAACATTTACTCGTGTCCATTATAAAGCACTAAGAGTGCAATAAGTAATGCTGTGTGACGTGTATCTGTCTTTCAGGATTGTGGCTGTGTGTTCCTCTCCTTCACACCACATACTAACACATCTTTATCTCTTCCTCAGCTATGCCATGGACCAAAAGTAAGTTGATTCTAATTTTTACACCACTAGAATATACAAGTTTAGAGTTCTAGTTAATGTTAAAACCCACAATGTCCAAGTTTAGTGGTGAGTGTTTCGATAGAAACAATATATAGGTTCAAATCCGTCATATATCTATGCTAAACGTTGACCACAATTTTTAAATCGACACACACACATTTGTGTACTTTGTTTACAGTTAATCTATATACAAACACCGTTTGCTTTTATATATCTACTAGGGGTGGGGGTGGGGGGACCAGGCGTTATCCTGTTCTGTGTCTCCAGCTCTCTCTCTCTCTCTCTCTCTCTCTCTCTCTCTCTCTCTCTCTCTCTCTCTCTCTCTCTCTCTCTCTCTCTCTCTCTCTCTCTCTCTCTCTCTCTCTCTCTCTCTCTCTCTCTCTCTCTCTCTCTCTCTCTCTCTCACGGGTGAGGCTAGCCCCAAACATCAGGCCCCCAGCCTTAGACAAACAGAGACAGATATTATCTCTTACATAGGTGGGGGGCGGTACCGAAGCCACTGTACAATGATAGCTTACATGTCAACCCATCCTCCTGATATGTTAGTACTAATAGTGACTATGTGGCCCAGAGTACTAGTATATAGTGATGGAACATCAATATCTTCACTCTAGCACTATTCATTTCATAATAGAGAAAATAAAGCTAAAAAACAAACTTAAACATTCGATAGCCTAGTATAGCGCAGATTATGTACTATATTAGGCGAGGGATAGTGTGTGTGTTAGGCCTAGGAGAGGTTAGAGACCACACACTTGTCAGTGTTCCAGGCCTCACACACACACACACACACACACACACACACACACACACACACACACACACACACACACACACACACACACACACACACACTCACACACTCACTCTCTCTCCTCCCACAAAATTGCCCACCCCACCCCGTCTTTAAAATTAATCAACTGGAAAGAAAATGCTTACAAGTATACAAGGAAACATTTTCCTAACGATTGCCTAGTATTACACCCCCCTCCCCTCCCCCCCCTCCCCTCCCCCCCCTCCATTGTCCCTACCCGCCCCCACCCTAGTCCCTACCCGTCCCCCCTCTCTCCCTCCCCCTCCAAACCAACATTGCTAGTCACTTAACAAAATTACATTGAGCCATGTGTTGCTGTGGACCCGGGCGGCGACGGCCCAGGCCACCCGCTGCTATATGCTCAAAATGCTTCACACAGTCCTTTAGCATACACGAATACCATCCCTTATGACATTTATGTATACGACCCCGGTACGTCAAGTGAAAGTTGCATGTATGTATGTATGTATGATGTATATGCAGCTGACGATCTGACAACACTGATCATAGGTATGCTGGATAAACAAAACTCAGTGAAATGGGAAAAGATGTTGGAACGTTTTCGAGCGGCGGTGAAGGGCCGTCATTAGCAACGGACTGGGTTGTTGATGAGAGGATGGCAGCCACGGAAAGCAGAGAGTATGGCAACCACGGAAAGCAGAGAGTATGGCAACCACGGAAAGCAGAGGATGGCAGCCACGGAAAGCAGTGAGAGAGGATGGCAGCCACGGAAAGCAGAGGATGGCAGCCACGGAAAGCAGTGAGGATGGCAGCCACGGAAAGCAGTGAGAGAGGATGGCAGCCACGGAAAGCAGAGAGGATGGCAGCCACGGAAAGCAGTGAGGATGGCAGCCACGGAAAGCAGTGAGAGGATGGCAGCCACGAAAAGCAGAGGATGGCAGTCACGGAAAGCAGTGAGAGAGGATGGCAGCCACTGAAAGCAGAGGATGGCAGCCACGGAAAGTAGTGAGAGAGGATGGCAGCCACGGAAAGCAGAGGATGGCAGCCACGGAAAGCAAAAAATTGAATAATTAAAATTAACGAGTTAGTTCTCTCTTCGATCAACGTTCACTAAATATTTTCATACAAAAAATGCAGATTACCTGAATGTAAAAGCCTTCAGTCGTCATCAGGTTATTAGGCAAGCGGTTATCCCGATTTGCCACTCTGTAAAAAATGCAACTGTTTCAGCTAACCAGAAACGCACGAACCCACTCAACCTACCTAACCTGTTAGCCTTTAAATTCTATTTGTCGGTTGGTGAATAGCCAATCCGGTGGCCAGAGAGTCTCATGACGTCATTCCTCAGAGCAGGCAGTAGCCGTTTTCTAGTAAGAGAGTCAGTACCTGATAGACCTAGCTAAGAGCAGGACCTCTGGACCTTGGTGTGCTGGATATTTATTCTACCACAACTAATGAAGTCAAGAAGTAGTCTGGGTATTTACTACAGCCTGAGCAACATTCAACAGACATTCAACAGAAGGTATACTATAAGAAGAACACAACACAAAAGGAAGCAATACAAGAGAGGATCGCAATAAACCAATTAAGGCAGACAACATTAATATTACGTTGTTTGAATTTGTACTAAGATGTCGTGTTTTATGGTAAACAATGCGACGGACTCCTGGTGCTTCGAAGCTCATTAACTGTTTAATAATTGTAAATAAAGCCGCCAAAGATTGAAAAAAAGATGTACAGGTTTGAAAGTGTTTGTGTAACTGCGTGAATCTGGCCCCAGGACTGCGTGGAAGAAAATACAAAATGCATCCACCAAAATGCCCACACACTGGAAAGCGGAAATCAAGAAAATGATGGAGGCTACACAAAACTCTTCCACCAGCTACTTTCAGCCTCCATTAAGCGGGATTCCCCCAACCTACCTGGACAAGCTGTAAGGTGATGGGTGAAGAGGCGCCCCCCGCCCACTGCCTCATTGTACCACTTACGGGCTATTCATGCCCGTGCCACCTCCTGGGTGGCTTAATCTTCATCAATCATCAATCAATCACTGCCTCACCACACCACCAACACACAACTCCAAACTCTGATACCAATCGCTGACAGACTCCATCGAAGGTGATCAACTTCAAACAACTAAAATCAAATACTTTATAGACAAAAAATTCGTATTCACTTGGGGAAGAAATTGATTCATTTGTCATTTGGTTATTTCCTTCACTAGATAATGGAGGGTAAGACAGTTCGTATTAAAAGTGTTAAAGCTTGAACGCCAGAAAACAAAGGATTCCTTAAAATACAAGACCATTCACTCACATGTCTCGAGCTGACCTCGTGAACTAGTTCTTGTAAACTCAACATGAAGGTAAACCTCTAAAAGATACCTTGCGATGATCTCGGAAACGAGTCAACAACCTTGTTTCCTCTCATTCACACAATTATCTATTCCCTCAACCCCCCCCCCACCACCACAAATAAAAATACTATGTTGTTCAGTTCCTGAACCCATTATGTGGTTCCTCAGGGTCAGTTCGCAGCACCCGTCGGCTGCCACCCCGACACCAGCGAGGCCCACCAGCTCCTCCGCTGACGACCACAGCTGCGACACGGAGAGCTGCCTCTCGGAGAAGGCCGCCGCCTCCAATACACAGCCCGCCAAGACTCCCATCTTCGCTAAGATGTCTGGCGACAGAGTCTCCAACACAACCGCCTTAAGTGAGTCGTAGCCTCTTGTGCATGTCTCCTTAAGTGAGTCGTAGTCTCTTGTGCATGTCTCCTTAAGTGAGTCGTAGCTTCTTGTGCATGTCTCCTTAAGTGAGTCGTAGTCTCTTGTGCATGTCTCCTTAAATGAGTCATAGCCTCTTGTGCATGTCTCCTTAAATGAGTCATAGCCTCTTGTGCATGTCTCCTTAAGTGAGTCGTAGTCTCTTGTGCATGTCTCCTTAAATGAGTCATAGCCTCTTGTGCATGTCTCCTTAAATGAGTCATAGCCTCTTGTGCATGTCTCCTTAAATGAGTCGTAGCCTCTTGTGCATGTCTCCTTAAGTGAGTCGTAGCCTCTTGTGCATGTCTCCTTAAATGAGTCGTAGCCTCTTGTGCATGTCTCCTTAAGTGAGTCGTAGCCTCTTGTGCATGTCTCCTTAAGTGAGTCGTAGCCTCTTGTGCATGTCTCCTTAAATGAGTCGTAGCCTCTTGTGCATGTCTCCTTAAGTGAGTCGTAGCCTCTTGTGCATGTCTCCTTAAATAATAATAATAGTACTCATAGCAACTTCTGGTCAAACCTACACGACTGCGCTCTAGTTACCTAAAACGTTTCCGTTTTGTACTATTGGAATACTCCAAATGACACATTAAGGTGGAACCATAACTGTGCACCAAATCCAAATCTGTCTTAGACCTAATAAGTAAACCTAGATGAAGAAACGACGACGTTTCTGTCCGTTTTGGACCATTATCAATTCGTGTGTTGTAACACACGATAATGGTCCAGGATGGACTGACACGTCGTCGTTTCTTCGTCTTCTGATGAGTGGTTTGGTCATCATATCTTCAGCCTCGTTATTGTGACTCATCGTCTTCAAGTAATCCTAGGCCAAATATACTATATTTCAGGCCTAATTTAGTACATATATGTGCTACACCTGATATAGGAAAGTTTAGTCTAGGTGCTTGTTTTCCTTCTACTACCCATACAAAATAGGACAGAACGTAAATTTATATACAAGGGTCCATATGGACTATGAACCCAGAGCTATGGACCCTTGTATATAAATTCACGTACTATCACTATTGGATCACAGGTTGAACAAGCATAGTAAGTAATGTACTCACCTGGTGTTGCATGACGTAAGGCAGTGATGCACCTTGTGGTGGCACAGCGCGGAATCACCTTGTAGTGGCATCATGTGGAGGCATCTTGGGGTGGCACAGTGACTGGTCTCGTCCCACCTCCCACCTGGCCGATGGTGACGTCATAGTTCACCAATAATGCGGATGACGAATCAAGTCACACCTGACTTTTAAAGATTCTTTCCCAAAAGGGCAGAACTCCAACTTCTAATGGGTCCTCGGCCACATGGTCCTCTCCATTACATGTGGACGGCGTGGGGGAAACGACCTGTGGTCAGCTGGGCAGGTGACAACATCAGGTAGACTAACTCTACTTACGATACCTTGAGTGAGGTGTGTGGGGTAAGGTTGGCCAGGGACGGGGCGGCCAGTCGATGTAAGGAATGTGGAGTGAGAGTACCGCCACTCGCAGCCCCGGCCCGCTCCCACTACCCTCCCGGCATCACACGGAGTCATGTCCTCGTCCAGGGGGCAGGAGTTGGGTGTGAGTGTTGTACCGGATATTTCAGACACCCAAGGGAATCGATGGTGACTACATAATTGACGGCATTCAACTGCAGGACGCACATATTGACCTTACCTGTGGCGCGAGCCCGCATGTGCGCCCGCACAGCACTCCCAGTTACGACACTCCCAACGCTCCTCGAGCACTCGGTCACTCCCTCTTACGTTCGCCACAAGCCCGGTGCAGGAGAAAAACGGAAAATTTGTCGGTGTTGTCTAGTGATAAGATGAAGTGTAAAATGTGATCGGTGTAACTATGCAAGTACATGAATTAGGTGATGATGGAACCTTGTGTTGGTGCTGCAACTTGGCGAAGCAGAAGCGTGACACTTGTTATCGTGGCCATTATCGAGGAGATCGTCCATGTTACGTCGACTAATCTTGCGACAGCAAATTCACTCCAAATCTGCCTGATGCTTAATTGGTGACTGCCTCACTGACCAACATATCAGGTGCACAAATATGTACATACAGTTTACATAAGACTCCGAACAAGATGAAAACCATCTTGAACCAGCAGTGTTGCCTCCTTCCACCCAGTGACACTCACCCCACTCCCACCCGCTGACAACCCTCTCCACTCTCACCCACTGACAACCCTCCTCACTTTAGATATTCATCCACAATGCCCTCCAGACAACAGTGACCCCCACAACACGCTCCGAGGCATGTTATGAATGAGAGCTCCTGCTCCACACCGCCCCCCACACAATGACCCCACCACCAACATCCACACTGAGTACATCTCAAGCTTTTGCTGCCAGAACGACACAGTGAGGGGAACAATGAGCTCTTACTCTTCCACGACTTCAAGTCACAACTACGAGGCCAGCTACCAAGACTTACCCTCGTGATAACTGGCCCCATTCAATGAGTACCATCCGGATTACTTCAGTCTCGAGGATTCTTCATCTGACATTCACATACCACGATACCATCGCCTAACATCAGAGCAAGTACCTCATCTTATAATACAAACTTTTTATTATCATCCAACAATACCTTATTAAAGTGTTGGTTGATAACCAATCACAAGTCGCGACAGAGCTCAGCTCACTGCCGCCACAGACCAACCCAGCCCTAATCACCAGGCCAAATGTATCAACATAGGCTGTCGCTAATATCCCTAAGACAGCAACAACAAACTAGCCTTTCCTATCAGAAAAGACTTTGAATTGCCGTCCAGCAACAACACAAACCATTAAAATCAGCTAGAAGTGTCAGTATCATATGGCTAGTGCCACAAGCTAGTATCTCACCACTAGCTACACAGTCAGCGATTATAGCCAATATTGCCCCGAATTAACGCCACAATGCCCTCACTGGACGATCTGGATCTTCACCGACTCCTGAACTTCCTTCGTCGCAGCCGTCGTCGGAGGGTGCGCCGGTCAGTGTGCCTGGGGCTCCACGGGCCGTCCCTCCTGCTGGTGGACATGGCCAGGTCACTAGGTAGGTCTCACCACGGGTTTCTCCTGTACTCACGCCGCACCACCAACCCACTAACACTACCGACACAAGGCTCTGTAGGATGTATGGCAGGAGTTGCTTCAACTACCCAAAATTGCACTGTGTCAAATCAATTTCAGAAAAGTATTTATACCCCCTTATGCCTGTTTTAAGTAAATTGATACAAGAGGTTTGTGTATCTGTGATTAAGAAGCAGACGGGATAAAGTTAAACAGCTTCACAATCTTCCTATAAAACAGCAGCAGCAGAACAAAGTGAACGTATTACAATTAAATGTTCCAAACAAAACACTTGTGTGAGACAAGCAATAAACACGGCTGACTACTGGTAAACGTCACAGCTCAAATAGAACTAGGCTACAAGTCTCTAAAATGGTTTAGCTTGTAAGGAAACCTATACCATACGAAGGGAGTGGACAAAGCCAGGGTCACACACTTGAGCTTCACGTCTAAATTAACGTTGCAGGAAGTGACACGTCACTTTATTGTTAATAAGGAGATATATGAAATTCTTGTAGACAATTTATGCCTCTGGTAAATATAGCCTATGGAACAAAACAATATGTTGTGTTCCTTAAAATGACTTAGCTGCACTGTGTAATATTAAAGTGTTATTCATGCTAGTTGCACTGCAAGTACTGGTTCAATGTCAAATAACATAACATCCACTGACGCCTGATTAAGATCTTTTGGGTCCTCTGTATTCCTTCTACAATACCGCTTACAGGATGAGTATGAGCTACACAATAAAGTACCCTCCGTTGAGTATAATTCATCGGATGAGCTCTTTTACAGTGAAGATACAGTGTATTCTTTAAATCAGTAATATGTAATGTTAAAATGTAATATGCGAAATATTTAACTAGATGGGGATATCCGGCCGTGTCCGGGTTTTCTCCCTCCTCCTCCTCCTCCCCCTCTCTCTTCCCCTCTCCTTCACCTCTAGCAATCTTCTCCCCTCTCTCTCTCCTTCCCTCTCCCCGCTGATAATATTAATATATGGAGAAGTTGCTTCAATGTTTCCTGAGAGTCTGCAGGCGTGCCCAGAGACAAAGGAGCATTGGAACAATTTGCCAATGTTTATGAGGACGGACTGTTATGAGGACTGGCCGTTATGAGGACGGACTGTTATGATGACTAGCCGTTATGAGGACGGACTGTTATGAGGACGGACTGTTATGAGGACTGGCCGTTATGAGGACTGGCCGTTATGAGGACGGACTGTTATGAGGACTAGCCGTTATGAGGACGGACTGTTATGAGGACTGGCCGTTATGAGGACGGACTGTTATGAGGACTGGCCGTTATGAGGACGGACTGTTATGAAGCCTGGCCGTTATAAGGACGGACTGTTATGAAGCCTGGCCGTTATGAGGATTTACCGTTATGAGGACTGGCTGTGTCCCCGGTGATGAGGGAGTCACGGCCGCGGCACGGCTGTGACGCGGGAAAGAATCTTTGGAAATCAATGACATGTAAGAACGTGGTGACGTAACGCGTAGGCGGACACGCCTGACACAGCTGCCGGTTACAACACTGGTGGTGGCCTTACCTGGGACCACAACACTGGTGGTGGCCTTACCTGGGACCACAACACTGGTGGTGGTCTTACCTGGGACCACAACACTGGTGGTGGCCTTACCTGGGACCACAACACTGGTGGTGGCCTTACCTGGGACCACAACACTGGTGGTGGCCTTACCTGGGACCACAACACTGGTGGTGGCCTTACCTGGGACCACAACACTGGTGGTGACCACCTAGGACCACAACACTGGTGGTGACCACCTAGGACCACAACACTGGTGGTGACCTCACCTAGGACCACAACACTGGTGGTGGCCTTACCTAGGACCACAACACTGGTGGTGGCCTTACCTAGGACCACAACAC